AATTATAATACAAAGTAATGAGAAATCTACGAAATAAATATAAGTAGAAAATTAATAACATTAATCTTAATGTCAATTTAATATTATACATATCTGGGATAAATAATTAAAACTCACTGTCTAATTTGATTGTTTCTGTGAACAAGATAGTATATCCTCTCGAAATTTTCGAATATTTTATCTTTACAAAACGCCACAATTTGAGCTTCATCGGGCACGGCTGTTGAAATACAAAGAAATGTGATTTGCGAATGCCAACTGCTAAGGAACTAACGACTGAAATAGTAGAGTGCTACACAAGTGGTGAAACAATCAATTTCAAACAAGATATTTCACTTCGCAACAAGTTTCACTGTAGGTAAAGGAAATGTTTATAATTCTCCTGTAACTAAATACTTGCTTCAATGCATTATGCTAAAAAGATGTCTTTTGAGAATTTTCGTCATAGCTCTACCACGCTGCCTAGCTTCACGAGTTTAATGGTTTTTTACCACCAGAACTAAAATTAATTTCATTCGCTGGCTCTTTAGATTTATTGGGAGTCTTGTCCCGAGTATATTTTTGATTTCCTTCCCTTCCGCCCTACATTACTTGACTTTAATGAAATAGAAAAATCAGAGCCTGTAAAGTTACACAATGATCATGAAATGGTGGAATTAGTATTGACTATTGACACCAACGTTTACACCAATGTTTAGTAGTTGAGGAATTAGCTCTAATCTGCAATAATCGAAACAAACGAGTTGAGGACTATTCAAACTTTAAATAAAGGCGAAAAATCTATATGTCATTAGTGTTGTGCATAAATTTAAAATATATGTTTGTGTGCAAGTATGAAATTTGACGGTCAAAAGTTTAACATTTAATTATAATGAATTTTGCATAAAGAACCGTTGATGCGTGTTACCATTTGGTTAATCGATCTACATGTGACAAGAAAATGTGGAGAAATCTATATATAATATGAACTGATACATCCAAGACTGCTGACCACCATTGTGATAAAATACAGACGATGTTGGCAAGACTCGCGAAGAAACAACCATAGCTAGTCTACCAATCTTTACCACTACTTGTATACTATAAAAAAAGCCAGAGCGCATACTGCCGAACATACCATCTACACCTTACAAAAATTGCAGACTGAAGCTCTTAGCTACGCTCTGTACCCCATCTGAATTACTACAGATTACCGTTTTTTCAAAATTTGAAAATTATGTACAAGGAAAACAATTTACTTCATATAAAGCAATCGAAAAAAGGGATCTAAGACTTATATAGATTCTTCATACCCCTTTCCCATTATTGTACTGCAAAGAAATAAATGAGCGTCCACCAAGATGTCAAAAGCATGTTGGCAGCATGGATGCATATTTTGCAAGTTTTATTTTTTTTTAAATATCCTTTACATTGACAGCAATTTCATACTTTAAACCCTTATATTAAATAACAAAAATCAACTTACACAACCCCAACTGCCACATATATTCAACTTCCCTAATACACTCTGGTATATAAATATTGAAGTTCACCACGTACATATTAGTGGCAGGATGTCGAATTAGAAGAGGCGCTATCAATCCAAGTCGTACCTTGAAATATTATTTCCATACAAGAAAAAGTATTTAAATACTTTATTTACACAGACATGCGATGACAAATGCGGTGACTAAGTAATGTGGGCATTAGATGAGTCTAAATTTGTTCTGATATTCTGGGTAGTGGCCCGAAGTTCATTGCGTTGTTCTGGTGCTCATAGATGAGGAAATTTCCTAATTTGAGACCAGGTAATTGATGTAGTAGTCTAATACATTACTATTATCATACATATCAAGTTTCATCACTAGAGCACAAAAACAACTCAATCTTCCTTAACTATATTAAACTTGAATTTTCTTCTTACTACCTACTACATAATAATAATAATAACGCACACACTCAACATAGCCCCTGTGTGTCGGGTGCCATGGACACACACATGGACAACCACAAATTACACCCAAACTCACGAGAGAAATAAATGTAGGCCATACAAATATTTCTCTCGGCCTGGGAATCGAACCTGGGGCCTCTGCGTGGCAGTCCGGCATGGTAACCGTTCGGCCACAGAGGCAGTAAAAATAAGTGTTAATTGAATTAAGAAACGAATAGCAATAATTATTCACCCTTAGATACGAGTACTATTTATAATAAAAGGGTTACATTTTGACACTGTGTCGTGAATACTTTAAAAAATAAAATTTTACCTGTCCAACGTTTTCAGCCCACGCAGCATGATAAATAAGCTCGTATTCGGTAAAAACGATTTGCATAACGTTGAAAAGTTTAATGCACCTTTGAGTGTTCTGAAATTTAAAATAACATTTACTGTTATAAATATGCAAAACACATTTTGTGAGGTTACGGTAGCGTCAACCGTAGGCGTTCGTTGCGTGGAACAAGGCCAGCCGGACTTCGGACGAATTCACTTAGATGAGGCAGCCCTGATAGCGTATACAATACGTCCCCCAAGGAGAGATGAATTAGGTATGCTTTTTAAATATCTAAACAATTGAAGTACATCCACTAGGTGTGATTAGGTACAACTTTACGCAAGAAACGCTCGTTCAAGAGCGTCTGCGATTCATCGCGTCGAGTGTTTACTTCAATCAACAAAAATCTTTTACCGTCTAGAATCAAAGTATTCAAGGAAAAAGGTGTACTGTGTACGATATTTCAGTAGTTTAGACCCTTAAAAAAGCGTATCTAACTCATCTCTCCTTGGGGGGTAGTTTATATGGAAAGCCATATACGCACCCGGCCGCCGCCCGCTTCACGCAACGAAGCCTAAGTCCGCAAATTCGCGTACATTGCGCGCAAACATGTGTCTTGTGTTGGATACATCAAATACAAAACACAATGCACGCGCAAACCTTGAATGCCCTGCTGAACACACTACCGTTACGAATTCGTGGCCTAAGACCAGAGAGTGTAGACAGTCAGATTAATTGAGGCTATCAGCACAAAAGTCGTGTAGCCTATATTTCATTATTTGTCTACATTTTAAATGACACTAAAGTACATAATTATTTTTTATATGGATAATATTTTCATGTACAAAAATATTTAACTATTTTTTTTTGCCTGTTGGTAAGCCACATGCCTGACCATAGCAGTTGCTCACAGCTTTAAATAGCAAAGATCTGAGGGGCACTGCCACTTCGACAAGTTGACAAGTACCATGTGCCTGTAATTTCACCAGCACCCTAAAAACTAGAACGAAGTAATGTTAACATTACTGCTTGATGGCGGAAATAGGTAAGTTGGCAGTAGTTCCTGGAGGTACTCTTTCACAAGGAGCTCTACTGCTACTACATTTTTTCACTATTTAATATACTAACGGAATTGCTCAGTGGGTTCGAGTGAAACATAAGGCTGGCAGTTGACGAATATGACTTACCATATGGGTGATAACTTCGTGATGCTTTATAAATGTCTGCATAGGTTTCTTGATGTTATTATCGCAAAATCTTATCCACATTATTCTGCCTGCGACTGGTGGCATGTTGTGAGGCAAATCCGGATGTTCGCGTTCTTCGTTATACCTGTTAGCGTAGATAATAATCTAGAAGCGTCTAAATAAAATATATTTTTTTTAATTTCTCAAAATAAGTTATTATTTTACCAGCAGATATTTTTTTAAATACCAAGGACTAAAAAATATTGTATTTTATTTTATGTAGTGACTAGAATAGAGTAAGGAACGTTGAGGTGGTTTGGGCATGTAGAGCCGATGGATATAAGAAGAATTACCAAGCAGATTAATGATGCGAATGTGGATGGAAGGATTTTAAGAGAACGTTCCAGAAGGATTTATATTGACCAAATTAGTGATGTCCTCAAACAAGCTATGATCCGAATTGACAAGAATAAAAGAAGTTGTATGAAAAGGGTAGTTGATATGTGAGGCTTCGAGAGTTGTGTCAGGATAGAGCCGTCCTGTGGGACCAGGACGTGAGCTTATGTATGTATGTATTTAACTCATTAATGTTAAATATATTTAAAAGCGTACCTATCACGAATATCCTCAATCTCCTCGGTATATTTGGCAATTAAATCGTAATACTGATCTTCGAGATAAAGACACTCCAAATTCAACCTCTCGAATCTCTTAAGCAGGAGTAAAGCAATCTCCGTTGTGGGACATTTATTTACACTCTGAAAAATAATAAATCGGTACGTACTATCTACTTAAGGACTATTTTTGCGTGCAGGCAACGGCGGTTAGTAGAGACCACCCGCAGCTTACTTGTTCCCGTCAAACCAATGGCGTTCAAGGATTAGATCATATACTATTTTTTTATTATAAACAAGAGACTTTCGCAAAAAAGGACAAAAACAATAAGGAATGGCGCTGTCTGTATGTAATCTTCGCTTGCAAACAAAATTGTTTCGGACCTGAGAAGGCTTCAACTTTGCTAATGGTACATACATAAAATAACAATGTTTTATCTTATGTTTTCTTGCGAGATGCGTTATTGATATAATATAATAAATTTTTCAGAAAAGCAGAAATAAAAAACAGTGTGTCACATTTGCTTGCTTCTGAAACAAATCGGAAACACCAGGTATGTCACTTGAAACACCTACAATAAATAAAGGAAACATTTATTTACTTGTATCATAAAGTTCTCAAGCAACAACTCATTATTTGCAACGTTATCCTTGTACGCTTTGTAATCTTTGTCGAAATCTGGACGTCTGAAATAAAAATTCAATGTTTAATATGCTACTCAATTTTAACTGTATGAGCAGACTACAATTTTAATTATAACGATAGTCTTACGCACCTATGGTCCAGAGCATCGTATGTTTTACTTGAAATTTGTTTGAAAAGCTTATTAAAAGTTGCAGCAAATTCTTCAATACCTTCTAAAGTCGTTTTGTTTAAGACATAATATTTGATATAAGTTTGAAATAAATCTATTATCTGTAAACACGACAATATTAGCATCATTAATGTTTAAAGGCCAGCAAGTTATATTCGAACAACAAGATAAATCCTTAGATTGAAATACCTACCTTCAGTAGTCTTTTCTTGAAAGTCTCGAATTTGCCGAAAATATACATTTCAGAACAATCAAAAGGCCGTTCGTCTGCGGCTTCTAGCATTTCCCTTTGAGTCTCATTATAGCATTCACGATAGAAGGCATACAAGGCCAAACATAGCTGATGAAAGAAATTCGTTGATTAGTTGACATAAACATTTAGTTGTTGTGTGTAGTTTACTATGATTTGTTTTTTTAAATGTTATTTGTCTTCATCACTACGATTACCAGCTGTCATTTGGTTGAGACTTTAGTACGTCCTATACGTATATAGTATAAACATAATAAATAAATCAAGATGATGTATGTTTCATATTCTCACCTTCGCTTTGTTCATAAAGTTCAATTTATCCTGATTCCATATAGTCTTCTTCCCGCCTATGGTCAGATAATCCATGCACGTGTTCAATATCTGATTGGTCACTTTGACTATGAGGGTAGATATCTGCTTAGTAGTGTTATAGTACCGAGATGTAGCGAATATCATTCGTATCGTGTAAAGTAAACCTGGTATGTATTGTTGCATTGCCAACGGATCACATCTGTAGAAAAAGTAAACAAAAATAGAAGTTGGAAAACTAATAAAACAAAACAATTTATATGATGATCATACCTATTCTTCAAACGAATGTATAACATTACGAGGGTCCCATTGAAAGTTCTTGTGAATATCAAAAACAAAGCAAACTAATAATGTAACAAACCTACTACTTTAACAAAACTACCTTCTTGTTGACTTAAATCACAATGAAAGTCATAGAAAATCATTGCACGAAAAGTTTCTCGAGTTAAATTCATGTTGACGTGAAACAAACAATTTTCAACTTGCCGCTAATTTGCAAGAACAAATGACAAACGAATGAAATATACTCGATAAGGATGTCGAAATAGTTATTTTTGATCATCGAGTATATAATCAGAAATAGACGAAATAAGAGCCATATATTCGTGGTAATAAAAAAATAAAAGTGTAATAAAGATAATATCTCTAATAATGCCGTGCTGTTATATTCGGTGGCGTGGGAAAAACAGCAAAACATCTAATTACAAAACAAACAATCACATTTCATCGGTAATTAAATAAAAAAATATGTAATTTTGCAATATCCATTCTATCCATCCATTATAGCAAAGCTCAAGTTAACTGGTCGATTTGAAGTGAAACAACTGACAATTGTTTCGAAGTCGGGCTAGCCAATCGGATACTCGATGAATGCGAAAAATCCAACTTTCGGCACGATTTGTAGTACGAAAAATACCACGTTTTGAGCAACTGTGTCAAAAAGTTCTATTTTTAAGTCTCGAGACTCGTGAATAATAAGTAACTTTCCGCACTTGTACGAGTATCAAAAATGACTATTTTAAAATTTGAATATTTTATTTTATTTACTGTTCCTAAGCAGCCAATTCTAAAAACTTTCAGTGTAGCCCTCGTACGAATAATTCTCGCATACATTGTGAATTTGACAATTGATGTTATGCCTGATTTCTGTCATCACAGTCTTAGATAAAAGCCGAGTTTAACCCAGATGTTTTAGCTTCTCGAGTTCGCTTTTGAGGTATCATAAATATGATCGAAGGTATACATACAGTTTTTCTACTAAGCGAAACATCGAAGAAGAAAACAAAACATACCTGTACAGTGGTTCACAGTATTTCTCAAGAGCGTACAAATATTTCACGTTGTCTGATGACTCGTTATAATAATCTGTCACTTGATTGTCCAACTGTCTCCATTTCTGAAATGTATCGCACATAAACATGTATATACAATAAATACAACATTATTGCTACACTCAACAGCAGTAGAACTCGTTGTGAGATAGTTCGTCCAGGAAGTACTGCATGTGGTAATACTTCCCAGGACGAACTATTTCACAACGAGCTTTCTATTTCTACCGTAGCAGTAATGTGTGCATGAGCATTACTGCGTTACGGTTTGCTAGGGTAGGGTAGCACCCAGTTACACGAGGCAAAAGTTTTCGCGCGGTCGCCCAGTTACCATGCCTTCATTCACATTAATGGCGAATCTGAATTCCATTTACTAAGATACAACATTTAAATTCCTTAGAATAATACAACCGCGCAGACACCGCGTACCCGTCGCGTAGACCAAATTTAAGTCAGACTCGCCCGCGTGTCCGGGACGCTCATTTAAGTTAAAACGTAAAAGCTAAATGTATAGAGCGCATTTTGCCATGACAGTTAGACGCACGCGGACTCCGCTCGGCGACCGCGTTTGGTGAGCGCGATGAAATTCGTGTCGAATAAATGCGCCTAAAGGGTGCTAGTGAAATTACAGGCACACGGAACTTGTCAATTTACGCCTCAGGGTGATGGGCGCCGTGGCAGTGCTCTCAAGATCTTTGCGATTTAAATCTCCGAGTAGCACCGCAACTGATATGAATAGGCGTGTCGCTTACCATCAGGTGCACGACTTGTTTGTACCGTGAACACTTGTATTATAAAAAAAATAACAGTAACAGGTTATTGATGGAATCCCACTAGTCGTTACGCACATGTTTTAGCATAAGTGACAACAGACAGACAGAAGATAATTTGGCGTATGAAACACAATCCTTTGATATTCTTCCCCACATTTTTTTGTAAATACACGAAGTACAGCGGTATCTCATTTTGTCCTACATCCCTCCAAAGTAGTAAAGACGAAAAGGAGATCTTGCAATTTACTTTAAATATTGTTTATGGCACATTTAAGGTAATAAATATAAGGGTAAAGATTTAGCCGTAGGGATATACCGTCACATATCATTTCACCGCCAAAGAAAAAAATATTATACATAAAATGTGCGCATTCAAAATCTGTACGTGCAATCACAAATACAATATAGTATAATATATGGAGAAAATGAAATTGTTCCATATTCCATAATCATATGGACATGATTTCATCAACACCTGATGTTATAACGAATGTTTTAGTTAATAGCCTGTATGTAACATTATGTCTTCTAACGAAACAAACTTGTTCGTTTAAATTCGAAGGAAAATTCAAAAATCCTTCATGTGGATACCTCCACATGAAGGATTTTTGAAAATTGCGATTTACAGGACTAACTTTAATTATTCTAAAATAGAATGCCATATTATATCAGGTCGCGCCATTACAGGCGTGCATTGTGATATTCATAGCGATATCCCTACGACGCCGAAGCCTTACGAGCAGCATTCGACAGCATCGCAACTGCACAATAGCAATTTAAGTGCTGTTTCGAAGCATTAAGAATGCGTCGCAACTGCCAACTGCTTGTACCTTCCATATATAGTTGCTGTTGACTACACGCTGATTTAATGCCAGCTTTGCTAGCAGTCGGCAGTTGTAATGCCATCGTTGTGGCACCGACTGTCTAAATGCTATATTGCAGTTGTGCAGTTGAAATGCAGCTTTGATGGCTGCGGAATTAGTTGCCAATTAACATTATGTCATTGATATGGCTTTCAAAATGTAGTAAGTGTTGGCTCACCTTTAACAGCTTAGACTTGGCTATAATAAGCGCATGCAAGTACATCTGACACGGACCACTCTTGATATGCTCAATAATTGACGTAAATGTAGTGAGTTGACGGCGCCAATGGTCTAACTCTGCTAACGGTCCAATATTAGAGGACTCGCGACGGAGTTGTTTACTTTGTACTAGGACCTAATGAATACAATAAATTTTTAAAGAGAAATAATGAAATTTACATTTAAAACTAAAAAAAAATCCATTCAAGTGTGGCAGTTGTACGTTGTATATTTCGATTGCATTATAAGAGGTAAGTACGACTTTTTAACTGACTAGAAATGTTAAGAACCTTTAAACCTTCGATTTGAATTTACTTACATAAGATTCTTTCTGGCTATAATGACGGGGGTTGTCACACCTACCTTTGCTTTACTTACACAACAGCTTCATTGTTGTATCTTATCTCTGCAACTTAATAGTAATATCTAACGGACCAAACCTTCGTAATGCATTTATGTATTAGTGCCGATTGCCAAACAAAAACGAAAGCACGTATTGAGTAAGAAAAACGAGATGCACTACGATAGTACACTAACGCACCCCTTTATATAGACACGTCCATAATATCATAATTGGTAGTTAAGCAACAAATTCGGTATTTGAAACGTTGTACAGAAATAAATATTTGTCAGTTAAAGTAAAAATTTTATTCGATATTTCTTATTCGACTTATAGTGTAACAACGTAATATTTATTTGGAAAAACTAAACAAAATCAAAAATATTCATAAAAATATTCATATCAGAAATATGATTACATCTTTTTGATGAACCTTGTGTATACAAAAATATAGAAATCGAATACCTGTTATAATATTTCTCATCTGTTGCGCTAATCTTGCTAACCCTTTTAATGTCATATACAACTTACGCATTCTGTGCACAATATTGCCCGAATGGAAAAGCGTATATTACACTAAGTTCGTAGACATTGACCTACATGTCCGTAGACAATTTTTTTTAATGTTGCTTGCTAATGAAATAAAATTCTGAAAACACTGTGTCTTGCAATTTATTATAATTATTATATCATAAATATAATATTATATTTTATTTTAATAAATATTGCAAGTATTATATTTTCTCTAAAAACAAATGGCAAATTCTGGCGGGCAGTGTATAAACCATTAACCTTTTAATGTCATGGCATGTGATGTGTAAAGTATACAGGTCAAAATGATGAAGTAAAATAATTTACCATAGTAATCTGTTTGGACCATTGTTTCACATACGAGCCGATCTCTTCTAGAACTTGCATCTTTGTTATAGCAACCTTCATTTTTTCGTGATCTGATAATTCATCATACAGCTCCATGTTTACTTTAAACTTTGTACAGCAATCAAGGTCCATTTTCGTTTCTGTTAATGAAGAATTTAAAAAATGATGCTCAAATGCTTACGTTAAATACATTACATTCTAATTCAAGCAGTCATTCATTGTCACTAATTCATGCATCCATTGCTTAGACTGCACTGTCCACAAATTATAAACGGTTATTATATTTGTCTAATATACGTTGAAAAACTCACTTGCAAGATAATCCATAAAGAGCAAGACTTTGGAAATGTAATACTTTATAATATTTTCACTTTTAGGATTGGGCGGGTTAACATCTCCCCATCCTGAGCACACTTGCAAAGCTGGTACGATAGTTCGCATTAGTGAGTTATACACCGCAGATACCACATTTTCAGTTTCTGGATTTATATCAAACATCATGAAGAAGTAATCCTGAAAATTATAAACGATATTAAAAGTAAACTAATTTTATTATAAGTTTCTAAAGCTTTTTCCAACCTTCATTCCTTAAAATTTACATAGCCAATGTAGTAATAACAAATACATTCATTTAATGAAATAAACCGAAAAGTAACATGTAAATAACATGTGGTATGTACAGAAATAAGAGCACGTTCAGCTTGATACTTAAGGTAGTAAATTCACTACGACGACGACGGGGCGTGTAGTGGGTCGCCGTTTTAAGCGCGCACGCTGCGCTACTAAACATACAGACTTGTATTGATGTTGTGTTGTTGTATCAGTAACAACGAGTATATAACCCGAAATAGATAAGAAATGTCATTTAATTTGTTTGAAAACTATTCTGCCAAATCATTACGGTAACAACTGCGCTCCAATTGGCCAGCCTGAATTCGAAACAATTGACGGGTGTCAACAATAATTGTGAAACAATTATTATTTCACTTTAAATCCACCAGTTTAACTTGAGCTTCACTATAATGGACGATAATTGGAAAATTACATATTTAATACTTAATTACCAATGAAACGTGTTTCCGTTTGTTTTGTAATTAGATGTTTTGCTGTTTTTCTCACACCACCGAATGGAACACCCCACCCATAGTTAGAGATATTATCTTTATTACAATAAATACAATGGAGTCACTCCTTTGGCCTAAAAGTTAACCCGTCCAAAACACAATCCATTATTATAGGTAGCACTTGGTTCACTTGTCGTATAGACCTAGGGTCGTATTCTAGAACTCTACTCAATGCTCAAGTTAGGATTTGAGTATGGTTTAAAGCACTCGAAATCATACTCAAGTCCCTGCCATTAGGGTCGTACTTCCAGTACTTGTGTTTCCATTGCAATCCTGACTTGAGCATTGAGTAGAGTTCTAGAATACGACCCCTAGACTCCTTACCCCATGTGGTTGTTGATGGTGTCCGAATTCCTATTGTGGACACAGTTAGGAATTTGGGGGTAATTTTTGATAAATGTCTGACTTGGAAGCCGCACGTTGCTGAGGTTAGCAAGAAGGTGTTTGATGCGCATGTTTCCCTGAGAAGGCTTAAAAACTTTTTGCCCACTAAAACTAAAATTACTTTGGCCCGGAGCATTCTCCATCCGATACTGGACTACGCCGATGTTTGTTACCCGGATTTGTCAGTCACTCTGCTCAATAAATTGGAACGGCTCCAAAATATGTGTATGACATTCATTTTTGGACTTCGTAAATTTAACCACGTCTCCCAGTTTCGTGCACAACTTAAATGGCTACCCATCCCCCAGCGCAGAGATCTTCATATTCTTTCCCTTCTTTACTCAATTCTATTCTGTCCCTTTACGCCTTCCTATCTCAAAGATCGCTTTACTTTCCACTCTTCTACACTCTGCCGTCCCCTTCGCTCCTCTGATACTCTCTTACTTCCAACTCTTTTACCGATTCTGCGATCAGACTGTGGAATTCTCTTCCTGAATCGATTCAAGGTTCCCCTTCTCTTGATTCCTTCAAACAACGTGTCAAGGATCACTTCTTAACTCCTAAGTTTTCTCTTTACAACGTGTCAAGGATCACTTCTTAACTCCTAAGTTTTCTCTTTTTCTCCATTGTCCTTTCATTTATTTTCTATACTTATTATTTCATTTTTCTTTTTCCTTTTGAAGTATATAAGCATTTAATGTTATTATTTATGTATTGTTATGTATTAATAATATTTGTATGGATATTTCTATCTACGTATATGAGTTTATTAACAATTATGGTATAAATCCCTTTTGCATATCCCAAATTTCTATCCTAAGGTTGCCTGGAAGAAATTGCTACAGCAACAAGGCCGCCTGTTGCACATTATCTTACTATCTTTATACCTAACCGCTCACGCGATTCATGCGTCTCTGGAAGCATACCACACCTAGAGGTGCCGGTGATGATTTTATACCGATTTATCGGATATCGAAGTTATAACAGGTAAAAAAACTAATACTAATTGCTATTTCGGTAACTACTCTAGCAAACCATAAAGTTTTTAATGCCTGGGTCTGTCATTTAAAAAAAATAAACAACTTCAAAAATACGTCACGACAATCGTGTGTGTTATTGTTTGGGCTGGTGATGTCGGTGTTTATTTATTGAAAACATACCGTAAGTTGCGTTCTTTAAGTTTACCCTGAATATAAATGTTTATAAACTATACTTTAAGGAGTAATTTCATGGTAAACGTTAGAACCACTCAAACGGAATATTATCATATTTACCCAAGTACACCAAAAATTACATTAGTGCTTTTTAAGTGCAGGATTTGCGGTGAGTTACTGCATTTTATTTGAGATGTTTTTGTTGTAGTACGGAGGGTATTTATTTAGTAATGCAGAATAATAATTTTTATTTTTAAAAACTTGTAATAAACTGAAACCCTTTCTAATTTGCGAAACCCAATAGCCGCCATTTTGCGGTAGGATGAGCGCATCGCGTGAGCGGCTATGTTACTTTATTGTATTTTAACTGTAATTTTATGTGTAATAAACAATATTTCATTCATTCATTCATTCATATCAAATACAGATCAGTTGATGGCGCTGTACTTTTTCAGCTTTCTAATTTGTGATTTCAGTGCAAACGCGAGTTGATATTTAAAAGTGGTATAAGGCCAATTTGCCTGATGAGTTGCCATGCCTGCTCTTATTTCATCTCTATTTCTGGTTATATACTCGATAATCAGTAACAACGATGTAACAACATTTATAGCGTGCAGTCAAGCGTACCGTCCAGTGGAAGAGCGGGGTGTTGTAGTAAACGTACAAGCTGGTACTTTAAGGTATTTTTTATGACACCAAGTGCCGGGACGAACAAGTCCTACGCGTGGTGATAAGCGACACGTCTGTACATAACAATTGCAGTGCCACTCAGAGCTTTAAATCGCTAAGATCTGAGGCGCACTGCACTACGCCCGTCACCTTGAGACATAAGTCGACAAGTCCTATGTGCCTGTCATTTCACCAGCACGCTTTAAAACAGAAACGCAGTAGTGCTCACATTACTACTTGGCGGAAAAAATAGGTAAGGCGGCAGTACTTCTTGGGCGAGCTGTTTCACGAGGAACTGTACTACTACCATCGAGTACATTGCTACCAATAAGTTTCTACTGCTACCAATAAAGTTTTCAATAAAGTTAAATAAAACAACATGTGTATGAATCCTGCAAAGATGCTTGCTTATTGAGCCGCCGACTCTGATTAGACAATACAATAGTAATTAAACACAATAAAACCTCTCAATGTAACGTGTTTACACTGCGCCATTCCGAATTCGTGTCCTAACACTTGAATTCATCTTTGTGCCGCTTATGATTAAACGTGAGGACAATAACTAATCTTTTTGAGAAGGAACCATGAGGGAACCCACAATGGTGTGGGGTAGGATTTTGTGTTGTTGTATCATGTTTGTATGAACGGTGCAAAAATGTATAAGGCTGATGTGCTCTTGACTGTACGTATTGTGGCATGAGAGATTATAATTTATTAGTGGACGACCTGAAATCCAAATCAATTATATGCCTTAACAAACAAAGTAAACAACTTACATCAGCAATATTCTTTGACTCAACGAGCTTATTTTTTATCCTGTACATGGCTACCATCTGACCGGTTGTACCTATAGTGTCTCCATCAGATACATATGTTCGTTCCATCCAGCCCTTCTGATTTGGAATGTACCTACCGGATTCTATGGAAAACATTAAAAATTTTAAACTATGTCGTATATATACACCGAATCCTAAATAAATAATTTCTAAAATCGTTCACTTCATACTCCAAAAAACAGAATAATGAAATTTTATGAACGAAAATTATTCCAATTCCAAGTTTCTAAAATAGAAACAGTGTGTTACCCATTTTCAATGGTGGCATAAGAGCATTACAGAGCATAGCACTGCACCTACCACCTTCAGCAACGGCACTCTCGAGGATGTCTATATGGACATCGGCATCATATACACCTTCCTGAAATCAAGAACATCTCAGAATAGGTATACTAGAAAGTGAACCATACAATTATATTCATTAAAGTTACCCACCAATACATATTCAACAGGCTTGTTCAAAAACAGTGCACAAATCTCTAGCAAGTACCTGTGTTGACTCTTCAAATTTCCTATACGGTTGTTACGAGCTTCCTTAGCCTTTGCCTACAAACATTCTCAAATTAGTTCTGTTTCTACAAATAAAATTAAACAAAACATATGTAATCACTGGATTTATTAACTTGCTTATCTTTGTAAGATTCGGACGCCAAAGCCAATGTGCTCATCGACTTTTTGCTCCTCTTCGTTTGCAGACGGTGGGCGACGTCAAGGATAGCCTCCAGATTAGTTCGATCCACCTCAACATGGTCGGCATCGCCGAATGTAGGTCTCGTATGATCAGAATGCAACTTTACGTGGTGCTCGGTGCTCTTAGGCAATTCTTCAATTTTTGTAGCAGTTTCATCAACATTTTCTTGGGTTACAATACCATCTCCAATGTCAGCTTCTCCAACAGCAACGTCAGCGGCAGCACCAGCGTCTACCTCTGCCTGGGCAACATCACCGCCCTCGGGCTCTTCTGACATGGTAAGAATTTACCAACAAGCGTCAAACAAAATTAAAATTTACTATAAATCTGTACGTACATATCCACTTTTTCAAGATACAATGTCATGTCATCCAAATAAAACGTCACAATTAAAGAGTGTGTTGTTTTGATGTTTACAAAAACTGGCATTCGAAGTTCAATTTTAAATTGCAACTTACTGTTCTAATTAAAAATAAATTATTTTTACACGAAACCTATTTCATGTTCTTTTTTTTTCAGTACAGGTCGTCCAGACCATCAAGCTTACAGTCCTTTATTATTTATTCGAACAGAATATAACAATACATCAGTACGATACGAAAATCGAAGACGATTCTCTACGTATGCAATAATATTATACTTAAAAATTGTACGTATGTATGAACCCCTATGATCTTATTTGATGTACCCCCTTAGAATTCTAAATCCTGGCACTATCACAAGCCACATGACAGCCACAAAACGACATATTTTGGGAAGCACTTGACACGGTAATTCACCGATAATGGAAATGGAAGATTTGATTCGATTCAAAAGTAGTTTTTACAGTACGGTGGTATTTTTTAGTCGTACCTTGACAGAGGGGACTACCTATCGATGCCGCCTCCCAGTGGGATGTGCTGTACTCAAAGGCTCACAATATGACTACCATCGAGTAGTAGTAGTTTCTGGTTATATAAACCAGAAACTATACTCGATGACGACTACAAAACAATACATGTTCTCTGATCACTACACTCCCACTTCACCAACATTTATTTAACGTATACTTGTCATTTTGAGCTACAGCTCAGGTCTTGAGGTCCACGCATTAACTGCAAAATGCAATCAATCGGTTAGCAGTAACTGCTTTGTCTATGAATTGTTAATGTTAACTTGTCATATAAATTAATCTGTAATTTTAGCTACAAATAAAAAAGTCATAATTATAAATTAACAACTTTTTATTTTCTAATAGAAACTAAGTATAAACTCTAACCATCTAAATTAAATTATTTTAATATCATAACATAAATTATAAAGTACCGATACGCCAGTGGACGCCTATTTTATTGCATACAAAGGTGCATACAATACACACACATACTTTTACGCAAATTGTTGCTTAATAACAGGAATAAAATAATTGGTAAAATGGCCACGTGACTACTCCGTCAAACACCAAATGCTTTGCGACATTTACTTGATGTCACAGAGTATAGCCACTCCTCTGAGAATCCAGTGGTCCGGATTCTTGATGGTAGGCAGCCAAAGAGGTGTGATGAACGTCAAACCCGTGCGACAGGGCTTTTTGTACACTGGACACTAAATAAGAAAATAAAAAATATTATACGACCGATTCTACTTCGCCTATTTACCATAAGTTTTATATATTATATATAGTTCAGGGGCGCTGCACAATCTGCTATCCAAAATTGTCGCAGTCATTGTAAATTTATGGTAGAGACACGTGTCCATCAGGATGGCTGGATCAAACGAGATACACAAATCAAACGGGGCGCATTATTTACTAACTATTTGTTACTTATAATAAAATATTTGCTACCTTTGCGCTGATGAATACATTAAAGCAGCTATACTCTAAGTGTGTTCCGCGGAACCCTAGGGTTCCGTGATACCTCTGTCGGGGTTCCGCAAGAATTTAGAAAAAAAAATCAAAACACCTCTCTCTGGTCGCTCCGCGGCTGCGCGGACTCCGCGGCCGCGCGGAGACATAACGCTATGAACGTTATTTATTTATTTATTTATTTGTATTTGTATAAACATGTGTTACAATAGCTGGTACAATATCTCATAAGTTTGGTATCAACAATTTTATACTTGTACAACCCGTTCGCTCTAAGTTTGCCGGTCTGTGGAATGCGCGTACCCTCCCAAACGTGACAACAAAACTTATAATGTGTCATAGTTTTACCCAAATATGTACGTACACAATTTTTATTGTTACAATTAAATAAAAAATATTTTTATATTATGTTTTGCTGACGCTACTTTTCGAACGTCATACCTATCGCCAGCGGCAAACTTAAAACGAGCGGGTAGTATACTTGTGAGCGCGCAGTCTCTTTGATAAAAGCCGCCTCTGAATTAGACGCTATAGTTGTCAACAAGCGACTTTCGACTCTAACTTCAAAGGATAAAATCGATATTGTTTACAACGCAATTTTTGAATTTCTGTTTTTATTTTTGCTTTTTGTTTATCACAGGTGCCGACTCGAGTATTTTCGAGAATATTTGAGATCGAATCTAGGACTAAGAATAAAAGCGGCGATCGCGCGTCGTATGTCGTCATTCGCACAGGCGCCCTCCTCATACATTCACAAGCTGCAAACCGTGCAGAACAGGAACAGGAACGATTGTGCATTATTTAAACCCCACTATCCTGACGTGTAACATTATAAATAAAGAAGAATGGAACGTTGGCTTAAACGTGTTGCAACAACATCTAATGACGCTGAATGTTCAAAAGCAGTGCGCGCGGAGAATATAACAATCACCGATCCAGAAGATGATGCCACGACGTCAAGCTCGACGGTTTCAAAGACGAAAAGAAGGAAGTATGATGAATCTTATATCAGTTTCGGATTTGTTGATTCCAACGGCTCACCTCTCTGCATGCTCTGTAGTAAACTGCTTCCTAATAGTTCCATGGCACCTGCCAAATTGCGCCGACATTTAGAAACTGTACACCCCGAGTCTAAAGAAAAGAATAAAGAATTTTTTGTTCGCAAAAAAGATCAGTTATTAGAAAGTCAAAAAAATATGATGCATGTAACACAAACTATCAACGAAAAGGCCACGGAGGCATCATATTTAGTTAGCTATCGCATTGCACAAGCAGGTGAAGCGCACACTATCGCTGAGAAATTAATAAAACCATGTGTATTAGACATAACAAAATGTATGCTCGATGAAAAATCTGCAAAGCATCTTTCTACTGTTCCGCTATAAACGATACTGTTTCACGACGAATCCATGATCTGGCAAGATACGTCAAACAAGAACTAGTTACACGTCTACAAAATACACGATTCGCCTTGCAAATGGACGAGTCGACTGATGTCGCTGGTTTGGCTATCCTGCTGGTTATTGTGAGATATCCATATAAAAGTTCTTTTCAAGAAGACATGCTTATGTGTTCATCGCTGCTTACAAACACTACCGGGGAAGAAATTTTTATTAAAATAAATATATTTTTTGAAGAAAATAATCTCAGTTGGAACAATTGCATTGACATTTGTACAGATGGGGCCAAGGCGATGACAGGTAAAACAGCAGGAGCAGTGTCACGAATGAAAATTAAAGCGCCTAATTGTGTTCCAGTCATTGTATTCTGCATAGACAAGCACCTGCGATGAAGCAAATGCCGTCAAATCTAAAATTAGTTATGGATGAAGCGGTAAAAATAATTAATTTTATCAAATCACGACCACTACAATCCCGATTGTTCTCATTATTGTGTGAAGATTATGGCAGCAAACACAAAACACTGCTGCTCCATACAGAAGTCGATGGCTGTCTCGGGGTAAAACTTTAACAAGGCTATTTGAACTTAGAGCCGAGTTACAAATGTTTCTTTCAGCAGATACTTCTTTTAATTTGAAGGACCGTTTGTATGATAAAACTTGGTTGTTCCGATTGTCTTTTATGGCGGATATCTTTCAAAAACTTAACGAATTGAATTTATCGTTGCAAGGTAAACAGACAACAGTGTTTCAGGCCTATAATAAAATAACTGCTTTTAAAAGAAAATTAGATTTATGGATCATTTGCATTGGTAAGAAAGAAATAGAAAGCTTTATAATTGTAAGTCAATGCGTTACTCAGTGAGTCTGTTAGCGAAAATGACTCAGAAATGTTTGAAGATGATGTGTTTGAAGAATTGGTCCAATATCTCAGTTCGATGCGCGCATCTTTTGAAAAATATTTTCCCGAAGAACACAATACAAAAATTAAAGTGAATTCATGGATTCATAATCCTTTTTTACCCAACTTGGAAAAGCCTGAAAACATGTCAAACGAGATATATGAATCTCTTTTAGAAATGTCATCAGACACAAGTATGGAGTCACTGTTCAAAACGACGCCTCTCAATGATTTTTGGTGCAGAATCCAAGATGAATATGCAATGTTTGGCCAAATGGCTCTGGATATTTTTCTCCCGTTCCCAACTACATATTTGTGCGAAATAGGATTCTCTACCTACGCAGCCACGAAAACAAAATATCGCAATAGACTGGACGCCGAAGCTGATATGAGACTCCAACTTTCTTCCATCAAACCTGATATCAACCAATTGATGAAAAATAAAAAACAGTTTCATACCTCCCACAAGTTAGATATTTTCTTTTTTAATGTTTTCTATTATTGTCCTTGCCAAGTGGTGAAGTAAATAATAATTAGTAACTGTTACATTGTACTTTTATAATGCTGATTAATAAAAAATACACTTATAAAAAACAATTGTTTTATTGTAGGGTTCCATCAAGTATTTTGCTTCCCAAAAGGGTTCCGTCATTTAAAAAGTTTGAGAACCACTGCATTAAAGTAATTCTGACATCAGGATGGCTGGACCACTTTTATGTTCTCGTGGTTTTTGCCAGACCATATCATAATTAAATAATTAGATAACACATTTCTTTATTATAATTATTAATAGCTGTCAATTTATAAAATGATCAAACAGCTATGCTCAAGTTCATAATTTTAATAGTTATACACATAGTACTGATTTCAACATCATAGTTGTCACGTATGCCGCTAGAGGCAGCGAGTTGTACTGATTTCAACTTCATAGTTGTCACGTATGCCGCTAGAGACAGCGAGTTGTACCTACCGGAAGTTTAATAACATTCTTTTGATAAAATGGCTATAATATTAAATTTAATTACTTGTATTGTATTGTAATGATATATACATACTGTAGTTGTATGTTGTATTAAAGTAGTACATGTATAGAATGTTATTTCATAGACTTTTAATGTCGTGGTTGATGGTGTTACTGTTGTTGAAGATACAATACAATACAATACAAAAATTCTTTATTGTACACCAAAAAAGGAAACAAATGCAATACAATTAAATTAAAAATAAGCGGTGGTACAATGGGCGGTCTTATCGCTTTAAGCGATTTCTGCCAGACAACCTTTGGATGGAAGTAATTATATAATTCACAGGAAAAAGACGGCGGTGTATGAAGAATTACTAATCAACAGATAAAAATTGATAAGTAAATGCAAATATACATATATTTATAAATAAATAATAAAACCAGTACATATATATGAATATCGTAAACTACTATATATTCTTATACTTATAAATATAAAAATTTCTAAAACGTAATTTCAAAACATAAAAATACCTAAGCAGTCCAGGTCACACTAAATTAAGGTAGTGTACTTTTACCATATTTTTTTAATATATTCAATGATTTCGCTTGTTGAATAGACAAAGGTAAAGCGTTCCACAAACGAATAGCCTGAACAGTAAAGGTCGTAATACTGGGAGGTATGCAATGGCATCTTAAGTTGGAGAGTTGAAGAAGAGCGCAGAAGTCGGGGGTTGTATTGATGGGCGAATTCAAATCGCTCCTTAAGATAAGGTGGTGTGTGAGGAATGAATAAGATGCCATAGAGAAGATTAAGAATATGAGCATTCCGGCGAAGTCTAATGGGTAACCACTTCAGCTCATTGCAATAAATGGAAACATGATCAAATTTCCTCAGACCATAAATGAAACGGATGCAAAAGTTTTGTAGACGTTCGAGTTTGTTGAGCTGTTCTTCGGTTAAATCCAGATAGCAGGCAATCAGCATAATCAAGAATTGGAAGAAGAAGAGTTTGGGCAAGTGCAGTTTTCGTGGCAATAGGTAAAAAATTACGTAACCGTCTGAGAGATGCGGCAGACGCAAACAATTTGCGGCTGGTCTCACCTAAATTGAGGTGCCCAAGGTAGCTGCCTATCAATAAGTATACCTAGATTTTTTACATTGTCACTAATTTTAATGTAGGTGTCGTCTATAATAACCTGCGGCAAGCGAAACTAATCTATCTTGGATACCATTCTAGAGCTGCCAATAACAATCATTTGCGTTTTCGTTGCGTTCAGCTTAAGACCAAATTGTTTACTCCACGTCGAAATATGACGGAGATCATTATTGATTACCTCAATGGCTTCGTGCAGGTTTTCAAGTTGCCGGTGAGTGTAAATTTGTAAATCATCTGCATACAGGTGGTAGGATGAGGTAAGACTGCGGGAAATTGAATTATTAATTAATAAAGATCGAGAAGAGAAGAGGAGATAAAACGCCGCCCTGTGGAACGCCAGCATTAATGTCACACCAACAAGAGAACCTCTCATCAATGCGAACACACTGCCGACGCCCATGCAGGTAACTATGAAACCAAGAGATTACCGTTGGAGATATGTTAAGAGTGCGTAAAACTGCAATCAAAATGTCAAAATCAACGTTGTTGAAAGCATTGCTGAAATCAAGCAATGACATTACAGTGAGTTGCTGTTGCGACATACTATACCTAATGTCATCAGTGATCCTAACAAGAGCAGTCACAGTGCTGTGTCCTGGTCGGAAGCCGGATTGAAAGGGATTAAGAAGATTGTTACGTATGAGAAAAGGAGAAATTTGGTTATGAACTAGTCGCTCTAGCAGCTTTGATAGAAAGGGAAGTATAGAAATAGGTCGGAAATCAGAAAAGTTAGATGGATTGGCTTTTTTGGGAAGAGGAGTAATGAGAGCTTCCTTCCAAAGGGAAGGAAATTCTCCGGTGCTGATAGAAAAATTAAGAATATACCGGATCACAGGTAAAATCTCATCAACTATGAATAAAAACATTTTACGACCAATATGGTCACTGCCAACAGCATTGGACGAAATAGATTCTATGCCCTTCTTAACATCACAATCAGTAAACTCTTTTAAAGAAAACGGAGGATGGTTGGCAGTTGGAAGCGTGGAAAGATAATTTAAGGTAGATGTTTTAGTCGATCCGTCGAAGGCAACGGAGTTAGAGAAATGATGATTAAGAGCATCAAGGTTTAAATTTTTTGGGAAACTATCTTGAAGTGACTTACCAACTCCCAGCGACCTAAGAAACTTCCAGACTTTAGCCGGATCATCAGTTTCTAAAGAATTATGAATATGTCGGCGTTGTCCATCCCTACACAACCTATTGCAGTGATTACGACGCTCACTATAGATGCGCTTATTCTCGTCTGTAGGACTGTACTTAAATCTGGCCTTAGCTGTGAGCTTTTTATTCATAGCAGTCCTAACATTCTGGTCTAGTCAAGGTGCAGGGAGGTGTTTCATTTTAACTGGCCGTACTGGTGCATGTTTATCGTAAAGATTTATCAATGTGTTGTTAAACTCGAACACTTTGCTATCTATTGATATAGCATTCACAACGTTACCCCAGTCAATTTCACGAGCATCACTTCGCAAACAGTCCAAATCAATTCCACGAAAATTGCGCTGCAGAAGAATTTTGGGTTTAGTCTTGGGTGGGCGGATTTTGTAGGAAAGATAAATCAAGTCATGATAAGAAATCGTCCGCAGCGCACTGACCATGTTTACTAACGAAGTTCAAAGATGACACAATTATTAAGTCAAGAAGTGAAGGAGTTGAGTAGGGAAAATTATGTGTAGCATTAAGTGGAAGAATGGTCATATTGTTAGCCATTATAAGAGATTCAAAACAAGAAGAACGACTATCTCGTTTGAGAAGGCAGGTATTAAAGTCACCCATAATTATGCTATGTTCCTAGGAAGGCGAGAAGTCCTCTCATAATTTTTCAAAAGAAGCGAAAAAGTTAATACGAAGAGAGGGACAATAGTAGACACCAAGTAATAGTTTAGTATGAGAAAAGAGAACTTCAATGAAAACGTGCTCACCAGCATTGGATAGCGATTGAGAGGATGTGCTAACTATTCAGAATGGTATATGAGATCGTAGGTAAATAGCAACGCCACCTCCGCCGCAACCAATGCGATCGTTACGAATTAAGTTAAATCCTGGTAAAGAGTAAGACGAGGACTGAAGGCACGGTTTTAACCAGGATTCAGAGATAAGGATAGCATGAAGATTTTTATTATCAAATGATGCCAGCATATCTGAAAAATGAGCCGGAATACTCTGCGCATTTATATGATAATATTAAAATGTTTGGGAACGTTACAAAATACCGAGTCAATTGTGCTCGAAAGGGATGGAATGTTACAAAAGCTAACATCACTGTCACTACTGCTATGAGAACTACAAGAAACATAAACCTCATCGTCATTATCACTGCTTATCGACATAAATTTTATTATAATAAACTACTGTATTATATATAAATCAATTTATAAAATATATAATGATTAGAAAATAATAATAATAATTTAAATAATATTTTGTTACTGCCCATCTGCCAGTTCCGTGCATAGCAACTTTAAAAAACAAGAAAAAAATATATAAATGAAACTTTCGAGCAGCCGTAGCCATCAAAAAAATAAAATAAAATAAACTAATCAACTTTCACGCGTCACAGTAATTGTCAAAAACATAATTTTGTTATAAGAAAAAAAAAAGAACAAGGAATTGTGAACTAAACGACGGTATTATAAAAATTTAAAATGGTCAAATCAAAACAAAATCTAAATGGGCAAAATTGGCCAATATTACTTTTTGGATGCCGCAACACGTCTCGCCTTCGGAGGGACGGCACTCGGCTGTTTTGATGATGAAGCCGCAGGCCTCATATTCCTCTTCGGTGAAGTCGTTTCGAAATCCTCCTCTGGTAAAATAGCATAGAGATCCATGATGCTGCTGATACGATGACGAGTTTCATCAGGCCCGATTGCGAAGACTTGGCCTTCTCGCGTCCAAAATTTTGCAACACCTAAGCGTTGACGTGCCTCCATGAAAACTGGATGCCGCGTTATCGTCAGGAATTCAGATAACGTCACACCTGAGCCCTTTAACTTAATTTTGGCCATCCAGACTTTGTCACGGATAGACACATCGCGGAGCTTGAACAGGATCGGCCTCGGCCTGTTATTATTTCCTCGACGACTCATCCTGTGGCAGCGAGAGATGTCTCCTACAGAGAATGTAGTTAATTTTAGCCGATTGACCACTTCCTTGACAACAGTCGCAGCAATATCCTCCCCTGAACTCTCCGGAATACCATACAGTAACAAAATCTTGCGCCTTCCCTGCATCTGCAGTTGATCAACCTCCTTGGCAATCCACTCTATTTGATGTTGAAGAGCCCTCAATGATTTGACCATGAAGGCCTTGAAAGTGTTGAAATCTGCTGTTAGGGATTCAACATTGGAGCTTGGTGTAGTAGTCCTCTGTAGCTGGCCCTCAAAACCTTCCATACGTTGATTGAAGTTTAGAACCAATTCATTGAAAGTTTTCTTGATTTCCTCCATGATTCCAGTGCAGTGTTGTGTCAATAATTAATGATATGTATCTCCGTGAAAGTGAAATGTAATTCAAGGATAACACAGTATGGCAAGGACAGCAGGTTATTAATTACATTTATGAAGTGGATAAAGTATTTTGAACTGTAAGTATATTTAATTAATAAACTTAATTAGAGTCACGAAAATTTTGGTGTTATGATTTTCACACCTACCGCCCAAAAAAAAGATATTTTCTTGGTTCTTAGATTTTGGAAGGAGAACGAAAAGGTATCTTGTCGAGTCGTTTGGCGTAAAAAAGTAGCGGAATCCATAAATTACTATGTATTTTCCAACGCTTTTCCCTTGAATTATAATTACGCTGGCGAAATTATTAACAATTGTACGGAGAAGTCGATTGCCGTAAACTTTTACACAAGCGTTTTAATATATTTTTTTAATAATTTTTTAAAGCTTCCTAAAATACTGAAAATAAACTGTTTAGGTAGGTTTAATAGCTAGTAAATAGTAATAACAAAGATGTACATGATATTTTGCTCAAAACTACGAGAACATAAAAGTTGTCCAGCCATCCTGACGTCAGAATGGCTGGTCATTTAATTTATTTAATGTATTCATTAACGGAAAGATATAGGTAGCAAATAGGTAGTAACTAAGACGCCCAGTTTGATTTGTATATCTCATTTGGTCCAACCATCCTGACGGACACTAGAAACAGTGTTAAATTCGCAAATTATTCACAACTTTTGCATAAGTTATAGGGGAGTCATCACACTTGTCAATGCGGAATCGATTTGAGGCGATCATATTTTCCACACTTTCGCATTTCTACAAACCGAAACTTTCTTTCGGGCGCCAGTATCGCCGTTCAGCCGTAATTTCGGGTTTCGCATCTCTTCGGAGTAATTCGGCTGTTGACGAGGTCACTCGAAGTGCGCTATCGTTCGGACGCCGACGCAACCGCTCCGATGTCAATGCCACCGATCAACCCTCGTCGACTGCGTACGGTTGTAATCGAAAATGTCGAGCCGCGTCGTAGAAGCCGATACGAAACGCAAAACACCTTTTTGCTCTTATTAATAACGCTGATCGATTTAATGCGATTCTGTGTCAATAAGTGTGATGTCTCCCTGGAGGCACCTTGTGGTCGGTTTTAAATAACATGTGAATTTAAGTACGTACGTACTTGATACACATTCATGTAGTATAAGAATAAACCCCCTTAAAATATCACCATAAAATACCGTTACCTGTATATATGACATACGTATGTCACGGGGTACAAACATCAGAACAAATCGTTGCCTTACTTTCTCAAACACGTATATTATAAAGAGTGATTATTCAAAATATGACAAATATTTCTATTTATTTTAAATTTCTTATCAAGGGTATTAATTTCAATGCATTACTTTAAGAATAGGTAAAAGCCATTGTGTGAATATGAAGGAAATGTGATGTGAAATCAGCCTGCTAATTTGTACATACAATGCATTTTTTGCATTTCAGTTACTTTGGGCTTTAAGAAACTAGTTTAAGAAAGTAAGGCGACGAAATGGGAGTTTTGGTGGACAATTCAATAAATATCATTTTTGAAAGTAGAGTAATTTTTCACTATATACCTGATATAGTTTAGGGTCCTTAGGAGCTGTGGAGTTGATAGCGTATACGTGAACGACGGGCAGCGCCGTGTACAGCACTTTAAGAGTGGACTCACAGAGTCGCAGGTTACGTCGATCCCAACCTGCGCCATCCAGGAACATGCCGTGAACAAATACACCTTCCTGTGGTAGGCACGAAAAGCACTTAGCGTAAACAGTAACCGTGGCGATAGCGGATAATATAAAAAGTCACAACAAAATTATGCTAATTTCAATGTAGGTATTAATTTCAAGGTTAATAATAATTGGTTTCGTATTACGAAGTGAATTTACAGTTGTAGACATAGCCAAAACAATTAACTGTAGAACATACATTTCTAAATACAGCAATTCAATGGGACTAAAGTATGTGAGTAGATCAGCATTAAGGCTAATTGTCACAGTTAATTACCTTACAAACTTAAATTACTATTTTCTCCTACTACCACAGCTATTTATTTATATTACCTTACCAAGGGAAAGCTAAATTTATTCCTGATATCGCATATACTAAACTAATGCAAAAAATCAGTATCTAACTTATTTATTATACTTTTAAAGACTATTTTAGTCTAATTACATGAAAAAACAAATAATGTTGATGCACTACGCATTCTTTCAATCGCATAGGTATACGATCAAAGAGTAACTTTATGCAGGTAATATCGCGGATATCATAAAAGAATCGCGGAAATCGAGCTACCAACGCCATCTTGTGGCAAAGAAACCACAACCGTGACGTTCAGCCTTAAGCTCAAAATATGTATATCCTCTTAGAATAATAACGCTTAAAAACGTAGTTCGCATACGCTAAGTGAGGCAAATTGTAGGAACCCAAATAGGCGTACACGAGCGGGCGCGCCGTCAATGATCAAGATCAACTTGCACCGCGAACAGCTCGAGAATTTTAGCTAAAATGACGAAATATGCGGTAAATAAGTGAAAAAATACGCCTGACAAACATAAAATAGATACTAACACCACATTCCACAAGGAAGTAAACCTTTGTTCCAACTTGTATTTTTGTGTTAATATTCACTAAAACAGAAAATTAATTTCGTTGCAACAAGATTCGAAAATGTTGCAAAATAACGGATTGTTTCTCCCCATTTTGCTATTCTGTTTCAAAATATTACGTAATTTTTTGAATAGGCAATATAGCGACAGTTGTAGAATTTCTACAAATGTAAGCTATTTTAACGGAATATATTTAGTATTAGCCTTCATTAGTTTCATGTGAAAATCATAATTTTTGTTCATCATACAGGACTCATTTAACATGAAGAATCGGAAAGCTGTCGGAGCCGATGGGGTTCCCATCGAGGCCTGGAAGGCAATGGGTCCCCGTGGTGTGGGCATCCTTACCGGCCTCTTTAATCGCATGCTCCTCACCGGTAAAATCCCTAACCAATGGAGACTGAGTGTTATCACTCCAGTCTTCAAAGGGAAGGGATCGGTGCAGGAGTGTGACGATTATCGGGGCATAAAGGTCATGTCCCACACCATGAAGCTCTTCGAGCGTATAATAGACTCTCGGATCCGACAGGAGAGTGCTGTCTCGGAGGGTCAATATGGATTTCGGCCTGGTCTTGGGACCATGGATCCTGTTTTTGCCCTAAGGGTCATCATGGAGAAATACAGATTGAAGAATACGCCTCTGCATTTCATGTTTCTTGACATACAGAAGGCCTTCGACTGTGTCCCCCGTGTAATGATCTGGTGGGCACTGAGATCCAAAGGGGTACCAGAAGCTTATATTGACATCATTCGAGACATGTACCGCGATTCCGATTCCATGGTTAGGACTGCTGTTGATGACACTAAACCCTTCCCTGTCACAGTCGGAGTTCACCAGGGCTCAGTTCTCAGTCCCTATCTGTTCAGCGTGATATTAGACGAGGTATCAAGCTCCATCCGAGACACGCATGAGCAACCCCCGTGGATGCTTATGTACGTTGACGATATCGCGCTGGCGGATGCGGATAGAGGGAGACTGGTACGACGAGTGAATGTGTGGAAGGAGTCGCTTGAGAACGGCGGTCTGAGACTAAATGTGGCGAAGACTGAGTACATGGTCAGCAACGCTACAGATCCTCTACCCGTACGCATAGGCGAAGACGCGGTCGAGCCTACGGGCCAGTTTAAATACTTGGGATCTGTACTTAGCGCGTCCGGAGACATCGACTGCGACGTCAGAGCCCGAATCGCAGCCGCTTTGGCAAAGTGGCGTGAGGTGACTGGTGTCATTTGTGACCCCAAGATTAAGCTGAAAGGACAGGTCTACAAATCCATCATTAGGCCTGTCCTTTATATGGCAGTGAAACGTGGCCCGTACTTGAACGTCATAAGCAGGAGCTGCGTGTCACGGAAATGAAGATGCTGCGCTGGATGTGTGGAGTTTCCCGGAAAGACCGTGTCAGAAACTCCCGCATCTGCGGCAGCATTCACGTCCGTGACATTGCAGATAAACTGCAAGAAAGCCGCCTACGTTGGTACGGCCACATCTTACGGAAACCGGCATGCTACGTGGGAAACAAATGTCTGGCTATGCCATCTCCGCCGGGCCCCGGTAGAAGGGGCAGACCCAAGAAGTGCTGGCTTGACGTCGCCAAGCGTGATATGCGTGCCAATGGTCTCACCACTAAGGATGCCGAAGACCGTGCAAAATGGAGGAGAAAAAGTAGGAAAGCGGACCCCGGGCTCCGCAGCAACACTGCTGAGGTCGCAACCGGGACAATGCTCAGATGAGAGAGAGAGAGTTAAGCAAAAGACAATTTCACCACTTGATGGAAATGTTTGCATCATTATTTGTATATTTGTGTGCGTACCGACGAGCGTAAATACAAAGTGCTTACGCCTACATAAACTTGATTTTTGCCTCACTTCTGATAGTTCGTTTGATATGAAACTATCATTCTATGCGTTATTGTTCTAAGTATATCCTAGCAAAATGAAAGTAAATAAATACGTATTACAAATATATTAACCGGTGGAGGAGCTTTAATTTCGTCCAAAAGGAACTTGGTGGCGTCATTGTGTAAAGAAACCATGTCCAGTGCCCATCCTTTGTGGGCTCGAGTGACTTCTTGTCGCATAGCCGTCAGAAAACCTATATACATAAAATTTTAATTAACTGTTTCGTTGATGAAAGTTACATATTATCGTTTTTCTTAGCTGTCAAATTGGGCCTCTTATATTGTGACAACTATAATCATGTCAAGATACACTGTATAAATCGGCATATTTTTCAATATTTTTTGTGAAAATGCGTATTCAAAAATGGATTATAGATGCATGGAACACTTTTTATTTATATTTTCAAATCTTACCTTGAGGATTAAAGAAACCAGTCATCCAGAACGAGTTAGGTCGCATGGTGAAGATCCAGAAATTGAACTGAATGTGCCTCTCCAGTAACTCGGTGAACCAGAACCCAAGAGTAGACGAAGACCACGATGGTTTTAGCCACAACGCCGGCACTCGAGCATCGTAGATGCAGTCCAACGAATCTCGAAGAGCCTAAACACATATTTTATATGAGACTAACATAGGTTGAATTTTTATTTAACAACTAATTTTTTTTACTAATAAGTTCATATCATAAATCTGTATAGGTATCATTAGTGGCCATTAATTATTTCAAGGTCAAAAACTCGTCTGCTTGTGTCATTTTTGGTTATTCAAAAACGCATGGAAAGCTATCGGTTTTATACATTGCTAAATGCAGTTATAGTGCTTCAACGAGTAGCGAAACGGTACTTACTTCATTCATAATAATGGTACCATCAATGGCTAGGAGCAGATCTTTTAATGTCATCCGCACCAGAGAAATAACTTTTTGCATGCGGTCGAGTTCTTGTCGTAAGAAAATCACCATTGGATGAAATTGACCGTAAAATCTTAGTCTAAAAATACACCGAGTTATTGAATAAACAGAAAAACATAATAATAAAAAATCGCTGTAATACAATTTTCATGATAAAAAAATTTGAGGATGTTCAGGAAAATCCAAGATAAAGCGTATAGATAGTAAACAATTATGGCAGAGATCCGCCAAATATAGGTATCAATCAGCATTTAAAGGTACGTTATGGTTGGGTATTAAAAGGGTTTATTTCTTGTATAAATAATTATAAATCACTAAATACAAATTCCATACAGTGCTGCAAGACTTTATTATTTTGCCTTTACGTGTGAATTGACACAAACAACAGTAGAAATGTTTATTTTATTGAATATCATGATGTTTTCACTACCATGAAATTCATTTATTTTTTATGAAAATACTCCACATGTTTGTTCTTAATATTGATACAAAAATTAAATAAATACAAAGAAAAAACCCTTCAATTTGACTGGACTTGAACCAGCGCCTGTTGCCACATCGGCGCCATCGCTCTTAGGAACTGAGCTTGCACATCGAGTACTCGATTTTAAAATTTTAAGGTACAAAGTGTGACGTCACCTCTCCTTGACCTCCACAGGATCGAAATTAGATGGCAATTTATCGAGCATTTCCTTTGACTGCCTGTATACGGAGGCCTCTCGAGTCTCACCTCCGCCACCACCAGATTCCTTTGGCTGGATCGAAAGGATCGTATCCAACATATCTTGAGTCCTACTGCGCTGATATCTAAGTGCGTCAAAAGTGTTTTTTACCATAATGATCGGTCTACAAAAAGGACCTACCAGAATCAGAACTTGAATCACAGTAAATGGGTTTCGAAAATATTCATATTAAAAGATTCATATAGATATGATGAGTTTCAGATTGCACAGAATTTCAAATTTTATTTAGTAGGTTCTGACACTGTTAATTTAGCATAGTTGGCACTACTGCAATAAACCGTGGAAAACCCGATATAAATTAATATTAATAATTTTTCCAGTAGCTTCATGCAATGGCAACTCTTCTCACCCTGCGGACATTGCCAATAACTTATTTATAATTAATGTACTTGTTTTAAAAGACATATATTTAAAGCTCACGTCATCCTTTTAATATAGTATTTACAATTTAATTTTAATACGTTTACAAATTGTTTAAAATCATATTCATTTGTTTGTCTGTAATATAACACACAATAAACGCTTCTGATACGATGTTAGGTGTGCATGCTGTATTTGCCTATTACAGGGTTTATACTCGAGTAATTTCTGCAGTGTTATTTTATGTCCATGTGTAATAGAGTATTCCTGGTGGCGAAATTATTTTAAAAAAAGTTCCTCCTAACATGAATATTCCTTTGTGTACGTCCTATGTAAATTTATTTAAATTAAGGGATTATTTTATAGAAGTTTGTGTTATCTTTCGTTGTAGATTTCTTTTCTGAGTGAAGTTTGCCATCGGAAATCACCGGTCAATATGCGAGTAACAAACGTCTTTGATAACTTTAACGTTGACGGAATCACCCATAGTATCGATTAGGTTAATAGTACTTTTTTAAAAACTTACGTAATATCAGCATTAGTGTGCAGTCCATAAGCTTGAGGAGGATCGGTGGTCTTCATTTTGTCTATTTCCTCGATATATTCAGGTATATTTTTAAATTTCATAATGCCATAACCTCTATAGAACTCGAAGTCATCTCGAAACAACTGGTCTGTGAGCCACACGCGAGTGAAGCAGACAAGTAAACGGTTGTCATAATCGTCTGTTACTCTGCCACCGTATTGTACAGCAGATACCATGTAACTGGCAAATTGAATTTACGTTGTAGTGCTTATTGAAGGCGGTAAGTTCATAATAAAATTATATATGACTAAACGCTCCTGTTAGCCTTAGACTAAATTAATATAGCCGCTGAACGGAATAGTAAGCGAGTTTTTGTAACGAAATTGCACATAGTATAATGAACTTTATCATTTGTGTAACATACAAACTAACACTAGATACGATATATATATATATGGTAGCTCCGAGAATACCCGTGACTACACGAGAATTCTCGAGAATTATTTTTCGCTCGTATCTAGTTTATCTAGTTTGTACGCTACACAATAGACATAATGTTCATAATGCATGAGCCTTAACGTCACAAACGCGTCCTCAGTAGAACAACTTACTTTAAGGGTTTTTACTCTTGTTTCTGTAGTTGCATGTCTATTTACTACCTTGGTACCCGTTAAATAGAATTCATTTACTGCCACGTGTAACGGCATATCAACTTTGTATAACAACAAATAAATTTAAATGAAAATTACATACCGCACTGTAGTCCAGCTAATAGACTGTCCTGGCTCTAAATATTCCAAATGGTTTTGTACGAACATACAAGACGCTAGCCAGTCCGCCGAGTTAAATTCATACGGGATATTCCACCCGAGCGGACCGAATTTGCGTCGCTCTTGCACGACGGTGTGAAGAAAGGAGATGGTGAATATCAGGGGTAAGTACATCGGACTATCGCTGTAGTCTAAGAAGTCCTGACTCATGGAGTCATATGTCCTCATTAGACCAGCTTTGATCCCTACGAAGCGAATAAAGTACGTCATATACAATGGTGTCGAATATCCAACGCAAATATGTCCATCTTGCACATGAACTTACCTGAAGGAGGTTCACAAGTATACTTAATAGACATCTGCAATAATGTAATAGGAAACTTTGGATGAACTTCTGTCGTGATCCACAATCTGTAACATATCAATGGTTTTCTAAAATAGAAAGAAGAAAGAAAGAAAATGCATTCATTTGACTACTACAAAACAAAAATAGAACAAAAAAATTAAAGACCAGATGTAATCAAAAAATTCCAACGTAAGACACAAATAATAATTGTAAAACAAAGTCACAAAAATTAAACTTAAACACAGATCATGCAAATAAACAGGGACACTACAAGGCGTACCGCTTACTATAAATTACTATAAATATTGTTTATCCAGATACTCAAAATTACATCAATATGATATATACAATGTGTTGATTTGCATTCCCGCCATATTTACAGAGGTCATTCTATATCCGAAACTGAAGAACCCAAATTATTAAAAAATAAATCGAAAAAAAATTTCGTAAATTCCTATTTTTTATTTAATTGCGGTAAACAAATTTGATCCAAAGGTCATTGACTTGCACGGCAAGGCACTTGCAAACATTTTGAACAATGACCTTAAATAAAAGAAACTCATTTTAGATCTATTTGATGGTGGTGGCGGGTAGCGGAGAGTGTCATATCAAGCGCGCGATTGGCAGATCAGTCGACATCTTCGACTATGGAAACTAAAGGACATGTTATATTGACATATATAAATCAGACGTTATGTGTACACGATGCATTTCGACGGTGAAAACAAACAAAAAATATTGTCTTTGTTTAGCTATTGCGTGCCGTATTAAGCCAAAAGAGATAGCATTACATTGGTCTGTGTCAAACACGGGAATCGAAAATACGTAACGTCATCTTAAATGCCAACCGTGTCCATTTCGCAGTACATGAGGTATATGATACGGTTGTCAAAGGGAAGTACATCAAATGTCAAAACAAATGTTTTTCCAAGTATTTTATTGTATTATTCCCATGTATTGTAATAAAATGGACAAAAATATTATATTGACAGTGAGAACTATTAAGTATTAATGAAAATTCGTCGCTACTGCATTACGGGATGTGGCATTTGAAAAAGCGTAGATCGACCGAATGTAACATTGTACAGGCACGTGTTATTTTTCTGTCTATAAATCACACAAAAGCCCAATATCGCATGTAATTAGACATATTTAAGTAGTTTATTCATAAATGTTGCCAAATTTTGCTTTGGTTTCTTTAGATTTGCCTGTTTGTTTGTATATTTTGATGATTGCTATTAACAATTATTTTGAGATAGTGTTATTCTTGGAAGCGTACATATTATCGATATTCTATTATTAAAATAATTCACTACGAGGTTTTTATTATTTTTACTATTTCAAGTTTACCTACAATTTACCTATTTTTGGATGATTTAGCATTATTTCTATTACTAATTCCTTAAATATAGCGAGAATGCAAATCAACACACTGTATAATTCTCGTGCTTTCTGATTAGGTATACGGTATAACGGAATGGTTTATTAATTTTACCTAAACGTCTCATGAATTTGTTCCGGGTCCTTCTCTAACTCAGAGAACTGTTCCATAATCTCCACCATATATTCTAAACCTAAGTGGCAGTTTTGTAGAAGCACCCATAGACCCTGAAGTTAAAGATTAACAACCCATCAATAGTTCAAATTAGATAGCTTTTTTTATAATACTATGTGATAGGACGAACAAGTCGTGCGCCTAATGGTAAATGACACGCCTTTCCATAACAGTTGCAGTGCCACTCAAAGTTTTAAATCGCAAAGATCTGAGGTGCACTGCCTCTGCACCCATCACCCTGAGACATAAGTTGAAAAGTCCCATGTGCCTGTAATTTCACCATTTTAATGTAGTAAATAGGTTACGAATTAATAATAATATTACTTCTTTAAGAGCACGTGATATAAGCTTCCTAGCGTGTACTTCTTGACCCTGTCCCATAGAAATAGCAGAACAGGTGCATTCCATTCTCTTGGCAGTAATTTCTATGGACGGCGTTGGATCGGAGCCCATAGCCAAGAACCCAATCAGAGGTACCAAAGGACGACATTCCAACACCATGTGCTACAAAAATAAACTTGTTAAATTTTAAAATTCCTACGACAAAAAATGGGTTAGTCTTGCGAGCGTACTCCATACATATCAAGTTTGATCTTAATTTCCATACTAGTGCAAACTCGATGATATATTGAAAAATGGTCTAAAAACTAATATCAAACATAGAAGTTTATTTCTTTTTCGTTCAATTCCAGATTTTTAAAATAACACTGGCTCAAACTTTCTACCAAGAATTACCATGACCTTAGAGAGAGCATCAATTCCTTTAAAAGTTTTCTACATATTCATCATCACCGTTCTAACGCGTATCGAGTATCGAGTGTAGCAGTTGGGTAATAATACCCCACACCGCAGCCGATGCGTAGGTATCTTATTAAAATTACTCTTTAAAATTTTACAAATATCGGCATTTTTCAAAGTGGGACAGCTTATTAACAATTTTTATCATTAATTAACTGATCCAAAGGAACCAAAGGGACGGCAATCCACTGATTACCTATCACAAGCTAGAAACATGATTAGCAGAATTTATATGTCCGAAAACCTTTATTGAATAGATTTTGTTTTTTTTGTCCGAAAACACGTTACGATTTTTGTCATTACATCATTTAATGTTTCACTATTTTGGACTATTGACAAGTTATTCGTTTTCCGATTCTTATTTCCCCAACCTAATTAACCATACTTGACCAATGTATCTAATTAAATATTTTGTTTTTGTAAACGATGTCCATAATATATTTTTTAATATCATTTCTTATTACCGATATTGAATGTATTAGAACATGTCGTACAATACAACTCGTTAAATTAACATGGCACCTCGCGTTTTTATAAAATATAGTAAACGTGGTGCAAGTTCATTTGATCGAGTTATAGTAGCTCGCTTCGCTCGCTCGGCTCGTGCGAGAGAAATTCGAGTTTGTGATAGGTTGCCCAATCTACTGCTGCCTGGAAGTAGACCTTATCCGAGTAAAAGTAACAATAAAAAAGGGTCTATAAAGTAATTTTGCCTCGCGCTTATATTACATAATAGAATAAAATTAATACAATTCAAAGATGTTGTAAAACAAGCTAACGCAATGATGAATCACTTACCTCGTAATTAACAATAACAGCTTCAGAATATCTGGCACCCATAGACTGAATAATGTATTTCCTGGAAAAATTATTACAATTCAATAAACATTTTTTTTAGACACGTACATATAGTGCAAGGATAGTAAGTGAGTTACATAGCAACAGCGATAAATCATTTGAATTTAACTCACAAACTCTGCGCTAATGTTCTATCCGGACACCAAGCACGAACAACCAGCAGCTTTCGGAATACGTCTAATGAATGATAACCATCTGGCAACGGTTCGTCTTCCGGTGCTTCTTTGTCAAACCTTTAAATAAAACAAACTTTACATACACAATGTTCAATACTTTTTAATTTTCATTATTTGTAAGGCTCTAGTAAAGTACATCATAAATCATTGAGTATATAACCAGAAATAGAGACGAAATGTCATTTAATTGGTTTGAAAACTATTCTGCCAAATCAATCGCTCCACACAAACCACGCTTAAATACCAAATCTCCCCTTTTTTTCCTATATCTATGATGGTGTCGTTTTGAAAACTGAGTCGCTATTATAATGAATTTCAGTCGGGGAAATTTTCGGTCCATGATTATCTACGATTTTCGATGTAACTTAAGTCTTCAGAGAGTTGTCAGAGAGTTCAATTAGCATTTGGTGATGAACTTAGACGTGTACATGATCATCTCCATGAGGATGTACGTAAAGGTCGGCCGGCGACTGCGGTTACCGAATTTAATATTGATACCGTACGACAACTGATTGAAACTGACGAAAAAATTACTTGTCAGCAAATTCGTACTGTACGTATTAGGTATAGAAGACAGGTGCAAAATATATTCCATGGGCATCTGAAGGTTCAGAAACTTAACACTGGATACCGCATGATTAACGGAATAACAGGAACTACTACATGTAGAGTGGTATCGTAAAATGATAAAAAAAGTCTAATGGAGGACAATCATTGGCTGTGTATAATATCGTGACTTTAAACCGGAAAGAAAAAGCCAGTCCGCAGATTGGGTCTTTCCTTTTGAAGATTTGCCAACGAAAATTAAGAAAAGTCAGAGCACTGGTAAGAAAATGGTTGCTTCCTTCTTCGGCAAATCAGGACGTTACACTACAGTAGAGCCTGAAGACTGCAGATTGGTATGTAAACACCGGCTGCGCAGAGTGTTAGAAAAAGTTCGCGAAAAGCGTCCTCGAAGCAATATCGTCCTTCACCACGACAACTTCTCTGCACATTCCGCTAAGGTAACGAATGCGTATTTGAAGGCGTCAAATGTGGAGCTGATAACCCATCTGCCATGCAGCCCAGACCTTGCACCAATAAATCGCATTATTTTTATTTCCAAAAATCAAAGATAAACTTAGAGATTTACTATTTACAAACCCGGAAAAGGCGGTGAATGCGTTACACGAAGCATTTGAAGCGGAATACTGATCCCACTGCTTTTCACAATGGTTCCAACGAATGCAAAAGTGTGTGAATAGCGAGGGCATATACTTTGAAAAACAATAAATCTATTATAAATGTAATATCTAGTCTTACTTATCAGAATGCAGATATTTTCAACATGGCCTAACTATTATGCTAGTTCAAAGGGTTTTGACTATTTTAAAGTTTGAAACGTCTTATGATATCTGTGTGGTCAAAGAGTTGAATGGCCTCGACGTTTAGGTGATGGCGAAGCAAATGTTTGCTAAGTGAATGTTTAATATTATGTTTTAATAATATTTAATTTTAGAAAGTGTATTTTAAACATCTTTAACAAAGCTTTGAATATTTTCTGGTGATTCGTTTAGAAAAGAAGCCTCTTTTCTAAACGAATCACCAGATCACTCATACTTTTGTCTCGTAGGCCACGTCCCAGTTTTTTTTTTTTTTTTGATGTTAGCGTAAACCTAAAAGCATTTCACTTTTGTAAAGCACTATTAACGTCTGATGCACCCCTAATTTTTTGCTGCCATGGCCTCCCTGTAGGTTGGAGTGGACTCTAAAGGGTTGATATAAACCACTTCAAAAATATTACAATTTGCTAATAACTAACCAATTCTTCCACCCTTTCTCATTATTAGTCACTTGGTCGATGATGTTGGTGTATGTACGCAGCGTGGACAATTGCACTAAATTAAGCCAGGACATGTCTGTGATCCACTTATGCGGTTTGGGAGGGCATGCGTTAAGATCTAAAGCAGCGCCACCTGTGAGGTAATTAGTTTATTGTACTTATGAATAAAATTGCAGTAAGTGATGAATCCCACTAATCAGCACCGTTTCAGTACCTCGTCCATAATAAATACGTATTTTATGTGATGGCAAATTTGTTACACAAGGTTGGCGTCTAATACTAACCCTCTGTGCTGATAACCAAGTTTAAAGCTTCTTTGACTTTTAAAACATGTGGCGAAAGAAATATATGGTGATAATTTGTTTGTTCTATACAAACCCAATCGCGAAAATTATGGGTACTTCGTGAGAAAACTTTTGACATAGCTATATTAAGTCAGATTTGTGCATTCTCAGCGGTGAGAGAGCTTCCTTAAAATAAAAACTATACCTTTAATAAAAGTCTGGAACTCGTCGAAAGTTATGTATTCCTTTTGCAAATCAATTTTAAGCGTCAACAATAGCGTAAATACATATTTGTGTTTCTCGTAAAAACCTCGAGATATGAATTTGAACACATCAAATGTCTGAAAAAGGAATGTAGTAAAGATTGGTAGGTAACACATCATAAAATTGTAAAATAATACAATTTATATCCTCATACTAAATACAAAGTAGAATGCAGAACATGGTCGCCAACTGTAATCTTATTTATAACTGTTTATTTCGTAGCATTGTGTACTATAATATTACTCAATAATTTTATTGCTCTCCATAAGTATATTTTTTATGATACCATGTGACATAAGTTGACAAGTCTCATGTACCTGTAATTTCACTAGCACCCCTACCCTTCAAAACAGGAATGCAGTAATGCTCACATTATTACTTGGCGGCATAAATAGGTAAGATGGCAGTTAGTACTAACGTTGTTAAGAAACATATGTGAAACAATTTCATAAGACAACTTTTGATAGACGAGTTAGGAATCAATAATTTTTACCAAACCAATATGCTATCAATAATTTTTACCAAACCAATATGCTTTCAGAATACAACAATGATTTACAACTACCATACATCTAAAGAACACTAACCAAGTACTCAATAATGGAAGCGATCCTTCTGGTAGTAATGGGACTCGGCGTGGACCTCTCCATAGAAATATCGAATCGTTCCAAGAACTGCGCCAGAGAGGTTTGATACATATTGCACACAAGAGACATATTGCACACTAAGAAGTAAAGGACAGAACCGCGCGTAGCGACAGGGCGGAATTCTTCGCGTGCAGCGTTGATCTTTATTTCTGTCTCTTTTGCAATGTCTAGTTTTTCTCTCACCTACAATATGAAGTCGTTTGTAATTAATTGTTTATTCTAAGCAATATTTAATTGAAGGTTGTTTAAGTTACGTAAGTACTGTAGTACACAGTGCAGGTAGCTTAGGTTTTGTATTTAGAATTATAAGAATGTTGATGTCAAACAGACATCTAAGGATCGTAATCCAGAACTCTACTCAATACTCAAGTCAGGACTTGAGTATTGCAGTGAGCACTGAAAATCATACTCAAGTCCTTGCCATTAGGATCGTATTTCCAGTACTTGAAATCATACTCAAATCTGCTCAAGTCCTGACTTGGGCATTGAGTAGAGTTCTGGAATACGACACTAAGAGTTCTGGACAAAGCTTTGAAATTGAATACACGTATAAAGTTATAATTATGATATAATCGTCGTTTATATTTATAAAGTATCTCTCGCTACGCTACCCGAGCTACGTCCTATGCTATAGTACATGGCATACTATTAGAATAGTAAGTTATCTTGTAGTAACGGAAAAAGTAATAAAGCGGAAGTATAATTATTTGTTTCATAAATTTCTCATAGATGGCGCTACGGCTACAAAGTCGTTGAAAAACCAAATACAAACATTCGACAACAAACACATATCAAAATAGGGAATCGGACAATTTTTCAGAAAGTGTCTAGAATTAACTAAAATATATATGTACAGCCATGAAAAATAATATTTTATTAAAATAAAGCTTAAT